CTCACAGACATGAAGGAACCTCAAGACGGTAACTAAACATGGTCTGCATTCACTAAACCTTCATAAAGCCCGAAGATCATATTTAACTCTGCAATGTTTTGACCTAAAATTACATAAACCTGTAGCAAAATAAATTATTTAAAAACATTTTACTTTCCTTACAGGCCCAGAGAGACTTCAGGGGATCTCTCTGAGATGGAGTATTACGAACCACAACCGAAGCCAGCGCTTTACAATTTCAGATACATATTAACCAGCAGAGGCAAGTATATTTGGTTTTAATTTCTTCTGTGAAACACTACATGCAAGCTACAATTTTTTTTTGAAATATCCCTAAAATGCATTCAGGGATGTAAATTTCTTTAAACAATTATTTTAAGGCAAAAGTCAAAATCCCCAATTTGAAAATATCTTTTTCTTAAAAAGCCATAAATCTTTGTCTCCAGGTATCTGCCAGCTTGCAGAGGTGTTTGTGAACCTGCTTATCATAATCTGTGCCGGGGTGCCTTACAGCAACAATGGGGGTTACCGTGACCTGGCCAGCCTCGGTGGATTATACGCTTATTACTACGGTGGTGCCAGTGCCTTCACTGGAGCCGATGCAAAGAGAGTGCAGGAGCTAGATCGGCTCTTCCATGAGCTTAAGCAGCCTCCGTACATCTTCACCATGGCGGCTGGTGGAATTTTAATGATCTATGCTTTTGCCATGCTGGGCCTGGGGATTTTCAGAGTCCCTTTCCGGTGTCCTCCTGTGCTGCTGGTTGAGGCTGTGCTGAGTTTCCTGATCGGTCTGGGGTACATCCCAGGAATTGCCATCTATTTTATCAAGCTGAAGGAAACCTATGACAACCCCATCTGTAAGGAGAGGGAGCAGATGTACAAGAGCAAAGGGCACCAAGGGTTTGATTGCAAGTATAATGGTGCAGACATTGCAGAGGGACTGTTTGGGGTCTTGGGGGTGGTTGTTTTCATCTTTGGTGCAGTGTTAGCTATCAGAGCTTTCAGGTCAGTGCGGGAGCTGAAAAAGCAAAGAACAAACCAGGATGATAATTTTTAAGCTGCCTTTCCTTTTTTATTCACAAGTGAACAAAAGTAGGAGTGAGAAAAAAAATCACTTTGACAGGATTTTTTTTCTTGTCACTCTCATTAGGTGTTACTTGTATATAAGCTGTTTTATACATTTTTATGCCTTGATAGTGTTTTATACACACCTAATCTTTTTTATTCTTTATACCTGTTTACCACATCTTTCATATTTTCTATGATGTTGTAGTTATAATAAACTACCAAAATAGTATAATATTACATGGTCATCTGTCATTGCATTTATCTGTGAAAGAGATGGCTGAAACAGGCTGAACTGACTTCCTGAAAACAAATGTCTTTGACATTTTAAAAGGAAATGGAGTTGAGTGTCACATGGTTTCTTGTTATAGTTTTAAAGCTTTTCTGATGGCTTTGGGGTTTTCTTCCCTTTTATTTTAACTTAATGTGTTGATTTAAAACACACACACACATAAGTCTGAGAAAGACACACACTCTGTTCTTCTTATAGCACTCACAAGAGATATACTTATTTTTAATTAAAATATATTCTCAGAATTTGTCAACCACTTTACCTGAGCTTAGGATAACTCATAACTCTGAGCTTCACCAACAGATGGGATCTACTGTGATTAGGAATTTACAAAGTTAAAACATTACATATAATTCCACAGCAGCGGTCACTGTTTCTTCTCATTTATTTTCTTGATCTGAGTATTGAACAGGACAACACATCAGCGATAACCGCATAACCTGCCCTTTTGGGCATGGATTAAGGGGTGAGATTACATATAAAAAAATGCAAGGATGCTAATAATTCTAAGAATGTAAGAAATTTTAAAGTGATTTTGTTTTTTATTGGGTTGAAATAAACACCCTGAACTGGATACGTGGAAGACGATGGATGGATGGGTTGATATAACCGTTAATAATGATAAGTAAAGTTGACACTGGACAAAAACAAAAAAATTCACAGTAAAAAGTTTTATTGCTACTTGGCTTAAAGTTAAAAACAAAACAAAAACCAGCCTGTCTGCTGAAAACTAATGATAGCAGCATTTAAAATAAAATAACCACCTTCCACTCTCAGTGTTCAAGAATATACAATTCTTTCTGACAAACCACAAAAGTGCCCATTGTTAGTTCTTTTCCTAAATAATTAATCTTAATGATTCTTAAAAAAAACTAAATTTGTAGCAGTAATCTGCATGCTCGAATAAAAACCTAAAAATATCGGATATGCTCCCTTTTGTACAAATAAATCACATTTTGTATGTATTCTATGTTTTTTTTCCCTGTAGCCTTATATTTAGAGCATGCTTTCAACAATAAATACAGTTATAGTACCATCAATAGTACCATAATGGGTGACAGATTTCTTTATAAGCCCAATGACTTTAAATTCTGTAGCAAAAAAGGGAAATATTAATTTGCATGAAAAAAAAAGTACAAAAATAAACATCACTTTCTTGGCATTCAGGAAAAGAAATATTCAAGCATTTCTTGAAAACAATATGCATAAAGGAATAGTGAGATTAAACAATGGCTACTTTGGTCACATTTTAAACAAATGGAGCATCTCTGATCGGTTTCATTCACCATATTCACACAGAATTACAGTCGATCCATTGTTTCACACAGACATGCATACACTTACAGCACGTGTGCGCTAAAGCTTTTATCTACACACAAACACAGACATTTTGCAACACAGATGCACAGGGAGCTTGCTATGATGTGCAAAGAGAAATTATACCGAATAGTTAACAAAAGAAGAAGGTTAAAATAAAAACACTGAAATTGCAGCCTAACAAATGCACTTACCCTCTACTTTGTGTACAAATGCATTTAACTGCATGAGTATTGAGCTCGCGAGCCCCTTCCACTAAAGAATTAAAGGGAATATTTTAAGCCAATGCAATGTACCCCTCCATCTTCCCTCTGTGCATACAATCTGCTTATGTACATGCACACTGATTACCGATGGATCATTATCCAAATGTACTTCTATTTTGTGAGTATATTATACCGGACAGAGGGTGAATACATGGTATCAACCAAAAGACAGACTGAACGCATGAATGTACAACAACGGTACAAATGTTATAAAGCAAAAGGAGCCAGTTAGTTTAAAGAGCACTAAATATAGCAATGCAGTACAGTCCCAGCCTGACATGGCAGCTGGGGGCAAACTCATAAAACCACACTGCCAAAGTGCCAAAGGGACATAAAAAAAAGCAACACAATGCAAATTACAAACACAACCTCCACAAACATTATACACACACACCAGCCAATATTCATTATCAGACATATTGAAACATGAGTCGTATAGTTAAAGGTGATGGGAAATTGACGCTCTGATATACAGGTATATATGTACACTTTGCATATTTTACAAGGGATTTTACCACTGTGGGATATGAAACCTTATAGAAAGTTCAGTTTCTCCTCTCCAGACTTCATTAACATTTCAGATATGTATCAGTAACATTCACAATCATAGGCTAGCTTAGCTCTCCACGTGGCATTTACACCTGCAGTGCCCGTCAGTGTTCCACTGCCAGTAATCCAGATGTGTGGCACTATGTGTGGGCTCCAATTGTGGAGGTCTAGGCACAGACAGAACCACAGAGTCCAATGTGTTTGGCATGTCAGACCCAGCAAGGACTGATCAATAAAGTGACAGGAATAAAATGATTATCTTTATCACAAAACTGGATTTGCTATTTGTAATTTTAGATATTTTTTTAAAAAAAGCATTTGGGAGTTAAAATTAGTTCTTGAATTCTGAAAAAGCAGAATACGGACAGTACCGATGCATCTAAATATGATCTCAGACTCCTACATGTGGATAATAACTGTATGTCCTGATTTTCATTAACTTATATTTACACAGAGTAAAAGCAATGCAGGAAGATAGTGTTAGTTTATGTAGTTTTGTGGTGTTAATTTAAAATATTTAAATATAAGTTAAGATAGTAACAAAACTCTAAGTGGTGACAAACAAAAATACTTTGAATGGAAAAAAATATCTTTGTGATGTTAATAAGACTTAAAAATATTGTAAATTAACTTTATTGTCAGTGTCGTCATAGACAAAAGATGATGCACTTGGCTGAGGGAAGCCACAATAACCTCAGAACACTATGCTAAAAAAAAATGATATAATAAAATTAAATATACATAACTCTGGATATTACTATTATATTCTATGTACAAGGTGCTTTTGACAGTGTATATTCTTTTCAGGAGATAAAACAAGGAGGAATTCATACCCACACAGCATTTAAGGCATCATCACTGACTTCTCACTCGTTCACATGGAGCCAAAGACCTCATTCACAGACAGAACATCAACGGAAAGAAACAAAAAGCTCCTCGCTTCAAAATACTGAGTAGTGTTACATTAAGGCTAAAAGAGAACACTGAAAGGTCTGAATGTACAACGGCTGTGTAGTTCCTTCCAACATGTAGTGGCAACCAGAAAAAATAAAAATCTATTGTAGTAATCACTGACAAGAGCAATTACCCAACTTTGGCCTTCTCTTAGCCACAGCAGCTCTGCAGAGTTGCTTCCTCTTTTGGCACAATGCGGGGAGGTTCAGGACTGGACAATGTGAGGTTTCCAAGGCTGCAGAACATATAACTGACAGTTTAAACAATAATGTATTTTTTCTGTCATATATATGACAATAGAGTTGACTATATATTTAAAAAACATGAATGATGTGCACTGCTGAAGCATTGAGTTAGACCCCCTTTTGCATTCAGAACTGCCTTAATTCTTCATAGCATAGACTCAGCAAGGTGCTTGAAACATTCCTCAGAGATCTTGCTCCACGTTAGCATGATAGCATCATACAGTAGCTGCAGATTTGTCAAGCGCACATGATGTGAACCTCCTGTTCACCACATCCCAAAGCTGCTCCATTAGATTGAGATCTGGTGACTGTGGAGGCCATTTGAGTAAAGTAACTCATTGACATGTTCAAGAAACCAGTTTGAAGGAATTGACGTTATCTTTCTGAAAGCAGCCATCAGAAGATTCGTACAATGTACTCATAAAGGGTTGGACATGGTCAGCAACGAGACTCAGGTAGACTGTGGTGTTTAAACAAATCTCCATGGGTATTAACTATGAAGAAATAATACCTCCCACACCCTTACACCACCAGCAGTAGACTTAACTGTTTATGCGAGGTAGGATGAACCCATCCTTTCATGCCATTTACATCAAATTCTGACACTCCCACTTGAATGTTGCCACAGAAATCAAGACTCATCAAACAAGGCAACGTTTTCCCTTCTTTTGTTGTGCATGTTTGGGGAGCTAACACAACGTGTTCTTAGCTCACAGTAATGTCACCCAAGGTGGATCTTCTTAAAGGTTCAATGTGTCATGCAGTCAGAGGTGCTCTTCTGCATATGTTGGTTGTAATCTGTGGTTATTTGGGGTACTGCTGTTTACCTATAAGCTCAAAGAAGTCTGCCCATTCTCGCCTAACCTCTGACATCAACAAGGAATTTTTCCACAGAGAACTGCCACTCACTGGATATTTTCTCTTTTTCAGACCATTCTCTATAAACTTTAAAGGTGGCTGTCTGGGAAAATCTCAAATCAGCAGTTTCTGGAATATTCGTACCATCCCGTCTGGCACCAACAGCAACACTGCATTTAAAGTCACTGAAATGACCTTTCTTCCCCGATTCTGATGCTCGCTTTAAACTTAAGCAGGTCGTCTTGATGAGGTCTACACATCTAAATGCTTTGAGTTGCTGCCATGTGATTGGCTAGTTAGATATTTTTGTTAATGAACAGCTGAATAGGTGTACCTAACAAACTGTCCAGTGGTTGTACTTATTCTTAATGGAAGGGACTGAAATAGTGCATTCTTATTTGGGCACCTTTTACTGCTGCGACACTCATAATATTTGTACATTAACTGTGTGTAGCCGCAACTAAAGTAGCCATATGATTACAAAGGCGTGTGGACATAAATGTGCTCAAGTAAAAAGCTACATCAAGCTCTTCCTTTTGTGATATGTCATCAATACACAGGCAGCAAATCTCAATGTTTTTATGTTTTTAGTAAAACATACAGGTGCTGTAACTTGTTCCTTCACCAAGTCAATTTATTCTACCGAGAAAGCTAATTAAATAATATGCCAATGCTTTTAATGTAGTTTTTCAGATAACACAGTGATAAGGCAGTCCTTCCTGCATTTTGTTTTTGTCAGTTGCACACATATCTATGGTGTATAATAGATGACTGAAAAAAATGCAAGAGAATAGGGTTTCAGTTCTCTTAAGGGTCTAAACACCACACGCCAAACCTCACCTGGATGTATGTGTAGTGCATTATAGAGGTAAGATTTAAAACATTTTGCAAAGTAAAAACATCAATAATGAAATCTGCCTCAAGGGACAGGATGGACTGATGGTGTCAAATTTTAAAAAGCAGAAGCAGAAGCAGCCTCCAAAATTCAGATATACTAAAATGTAAGTACCAGAGGGGATATTTTCACACATGCAGTACAAATCCTGATTTTATATCTCTTGGCCTTACAATATGTAATACTTCAGTTTTGTGTCTTAGCTCATTTGTCCAGTCCACTATCCAGTGACCATAAAACTGACTAAATTCAAATGAATCTTTTATCTTCCTATGAATGTTTTAAGGAGCTCATTCTATAATGCACTGTCACAGAATATACTGCAGTAACAGTTGTTAACCTCTACTAATTGCCTCTTGCTTTACAACTAAATGACTTCGATATTGCATTGCTCTACATAGAAAAAATATTCAGTCTTAATGTCAGCAGTGTAAGCGCATCACATCGGCCACCCGCTAGATGTGAGTTTGTACTTTACTATGTAGGAGTGATAGACAATTCTTTATATATGGTGTGGAAATGCTAACGATAAAAAACAGACACAATGAAAATGCAGTTGTGTTGTTTTCAGATCTGTGTGTATTATAAGCATTTAGACTCTCTGATTTCCTTCGTAAGCCACAGGTGGAGGAGGAGGAGGAGAGCCGAAGCTGTGCCAGTCCCGGTCTCTTAGAGACACTATCCATCCTGCAAATTCAACTATCAAACTCACGTCTCTGAAACACAGCCAGGATGTAGGGAGCTCTAGGCTGTGTCTTCTGTAGTAGGCACTTTTTCATGTTTCCGTCATAGTACTTCCCTCCAGGATCTGAGAGACAACGGAGCTCCTGGAGAAAAGATCTGACATGATCTCTTGCACACCCTCCAGATTGCTTTGCTTTCCAAGTAAAGGGAAATGCTGCTGACGAGTTCAAACACTCGAGGTATCCAATTTCAGGTCAGGCTTGTTCTTTGTCTAATACAGCCAGCTTTCTGTTTCACAATGTTCTGTTACAAACTGAAATCTTTTTTTTTTTTTGCCTTTGTTCTCTCAGATACTCAGACCGTACACTTTTTTTGACCTCACGTTAAAAGGCATTATTTAGTGACCATTAAGATGCCACAGGTTTGTCTCGTTCTCACAAAGTATCTGAATGGCAACTTTCACTGGACTTTCCCTCGTGTATGAGAAAACTCTTCTGTCCCAGAATGGCACAATCACAGAAATCCTCCCCCTTAGAGGGCGGTATCATAAACCTCCTGTTGTAGGATAGGAGTCGGGCCTGGACCTGGAACCAGGCTGGATGGAAATGCTGGGGGGTGTGGATGATCCCACACCGGATCTTTTAAGGAGGAGGGTGTGGTTGGTGCAGAGGGGCCTGAGACTAGAGGGCTCTGGCCTCGTAGCTGCTCCCTGACTTCCTGCTCCAGACTAGGAGGCACAATCAGCTGGTCCTCTGGGTCCTGCTGTGCTGGAGCTGTGAAATAGCCAGACTTTTTCTTGGGAGCCTCTAGGGCAACCTCAATTAGGTTGTGACTGTCTTCAGGGGCTACCACAGAACCATTCGACAACTTCTTCCCAAACAGGCTGGATGTGGAGGGAGATTTCTTAAGGTCAGCAATCTCTCTCCCACATACAGCAAGCAAGCAGCCGTTTGTAGCAGAAACCACCACGCTGTTCTGTCTGCGCATTTTACCACCGGGATGGTCAAAGCCTCGTTTTTCAAAGTCCAAGTCTTTGGGGCTCTCATGGGGCCCCGACCGCAGCTGAAAAGCACAACAGTGAATGTCTACTTCCACTTCTAATTTGCTGCCATTGGAGATGACACCCTCGAGTGGAGCTTCATCATCACTGTCCAAGCCATTGTCCGACTGGTTACTTGAGAATGTGGTGCTGGACGGCTGCTGCTGGAATAGACCTGGGTGGGGTCCGGTCCCACCTGAGCCTGGCACCATGATGCCGCACAGTGTGGTAGCGGGGTGTAGGCTACAGCGTCTCTCTGGGCGGGTCACAGTGCCAGAGGACGGGGGTTCATCTGAAGCGGTGGACCCCGCTTCGCTGCCGATCTCTGAAGCTGATGTCTCACTGCTGAACTCAGTGACAATGCCACTGCTGGAGGAGAGGTTGGTGGCTGGGTCGCTAGGGCCCGGGATCACAGACGCAGGAACGGGAGCAGGAGCAGGGCCCCGTGGCTCGGTGGTGGTGACCGGCGGCTCACATGTGCAGCTGTCCTCACCAATGTGCAGGGACACCACGACAGCGCCGATGTTGTCCTTGCAACCGTAACTTTGGGCAAGTGAACACAACTTCTTAGCAGCAGCACGGGGATCCCGGACAGCCTGCACGGTGCAAACAGCCTCCTGGTAGGAAACTCGCTCAAACAGGGCTCGATTCCCCAGGATCAAGAACTCATCCTGGGAACAAAGCGGCTCAGTGTGCACCCAGGGCTTTGGAAGCACCCAGGGAGACAGATAAGAGCAGCCCAACAGGCGAGAGCAGCATGTCACTCCACTCACTTTGTTATCCTACAAAACAGAAGCGCCATTAGAACTGCAGCAGAGCGTATAGCCTCATAATGTTTACACAGTGGAATATGACAGAGCATATTAACACTAGATTAGAGGCTATGTGCAATTGCTCCCATTTAACAGCTGAAAACCAACATAGGCATTACCTCTGTAATAATGGCTTTACTGACTTTAACCCGCTCCATTTCCTCAGTGCAGTTCTCCAAACTGTAAACCTTAGAGAGAGGTACAGGTTGTCCATTTCGGCACAGCACGGCTTGGCAGGTACCCACATTGGCCACAGTAAGGCTAAAGGATGCTCCTGGATCTGAAGTCTCATGGTGGATGTAACACAGCAGGCCAGATGCACCCAGCTTCTGACCGGCCATACCAAGTTTCCTGCACCCCCACCAATCGGCAAACGACAAAAACAAACTCTTACAGTCAGTGAATGCAAGTAAAAGCCAGGTATTGATAATGAAAAACAGTTACACAGAACAACATGTTACCTGTGTGAGGTGAGGAAAGTGTTGCACATATACACACTGTCAACACTAGAGTGCTGCAGCTCCTCGCACAGCACGTCTCCCATAGTGCACTGCAACAGGCGAGGCACTTCCTCGTTACGGTCTCCGTCAAAGATACCATAGCATGCTTCCACGCTGTCTCTGAAGTGGTCTACAGCCAGCACAGACACACACAACCTGTCCCCAACAAAAGATGCACAATAATAGATTTAGCACATCCATCCACAAAACTTCGCCACGCTGTGTAAAATGTACAGCGCTCAGCATATTTATCAGAACACCACTGATAAATCTATGGCAATGAATGAACAGTGTTTGTAATTACCAACATTATTTATTGTTTCTGTAAAAGTTAATCCGTCACTATGTGTTTCTTAAATATGACAGGCGGTCTAAGAAATGATCAAGTACTGAGAATAAAAACAAAGTGTAAAATATTTAAACTGTGCATTTAAATGAGAAGACATTATGTTCAATGTAGAGACTGAGAAATTAACCAGCGGCCTTCAGTTGCCACTGCATTAGAAAATTGCACTGCGTGGGCTTATGGCAGTGCAGTGAAAACAAGGAATCGATGAAAACTGCATCCACACAAAAACAATGTGAAACTCTACAGTGGAACGAAACAGATGTGCATATTTTAAGATCAAGAAACTGTGCTGTTGCTTGGCTGGGCCCAAACTCTTAAGATGGGCTGAGGCAACAGTGTTATAGTTTCACTGTATGAAAGGTAAATAAATTATAAGCCAACACTATATGAATTATTGTTAAAAATAAATGATTCCAGCAACAGGTAATGATAAAATTGGTATTTAAAAAAAAGACAACCCTATAACACAGTTATAGAAGAAAAACACAAAACAGAGAAGATCTGTACACACTTGTTCCTTTGCCCGCTCATTTCAGAGTAGCCATGCTTCCAAGGAGTAGAGGCGCTCAGAGAGTCTCCTGCTGTTGTGGTAGATTTCTGGTCTAATTTCAGGGTGGTGATGTGGCTAAAAATAAAAGAGAAAAAAAGAAATACACTAGAGTGCACTGTACACCTTTATTGTGTGCCCCTATGTGACAAGAAGTTCAGTATTGGGTGCTGCGCCTCACCTGAAGAGATTGAGGGTTTTGTGTTCCAGCATCAGGCTGCTGTTGCCTGTCAGGTCCAGCTCTTGTAAAGTGGCAGGCAGGGAATCGGGCAGCTGGATCTCAGTGAGCTCATTGCAGCTTAGATCGACAAGCTAAAGAGATGCAAAACCAGGTGAGCCGAAACACGCTTAAAGTTGATCATGTGACACAAAGAAAACTGCAACGGGCCTGACCTTGATCTCAGGGAGGTTGAGGATCTCTGGAAAGACGCTGATGTGGTTCGAGTGTGCTATGAGGGTGTGCAGTCTCTTACAGCTGGACACAGTGGAGGGTATTGTTTTTAGATTGTTGCCGCTTAAATTTAGCTCCTCCAGCAGTTCCAGCTTACTTAGCTTACTAAAGACACAAACATGAAACAATAACAGCTGGGCTGAAACGGGAAAAACTTACATTGAATTTATAATGCAAGTAATGCTTCAGTAATTATTCTTAATAATAACTTCTTTAACTGCACAGTAACCCTAAAGAAGCACCACACATTTTGTTGATCCTCATAAAGTATTTTGTGTGTGCTTAAAAGGGTTCAATTTGCACCTTGGTTTAAACTAATAGTTAAGACACACAGAAGGCAGGAGAACTCACCTGGCAGGGAATGAGAGTAACTGGTTGTAGGCAATGTGGAGGATCCGCAGGTTCTGGTGTCCGATCAGCAGAGCGCCACAATTCTCGCTCAGGTTGTTCTCCGTCAGGTAGAGCTCCTGGAGTGTGCTGAGGCTCTCCTCTGATTGGCTGCTCGGCGGAATGCTTTCCAAGGCATTGGCTGACACGTTTAAGTATTTCAGGCTGTAAGAGAAGACAAACAGAAAAACAATTAACACAACAGCTCAAGTAATCAGCAGTGCATCTGAGGAACGCACCCACCCATTCAAATCCCGTTTACCGCAGCTGATGTTCAAGCAAAAAGGTTTTGAAGACTGTTGATGGCTGATAAACGGTGTCAGTAACACCGCATGATTCTCATATTGAATATACTTGACAGAGTATATTTCAGTGAAAGTGAAGCGAGCTCAGTATGCTGGTGTTTGGGAGGCCGGGTGCAAATTGAATTTGATCACGACACATTTTCACCCTGTTTGCGATGAAACATGTTTAACTGCAAATTAAATAATATTCCAGGTGGCCTCAGCTTCTGCAGCGAAATGAAGACGACTGAGGCGTCTGAAATCTGCATTTAAAGAATTATAGAGATTTTAGGAGCTTCCATATTTTCTAACATAAAAAGCCTTCTTCTAATTTATTCTTGCGGGTGGAGCATTGATTTGCATTTCATTGACCCTGCGCATTAAAGTGGGCCAGTAATATGAGCTCCAGTGGTTGTTATGTAATTGGTGTCAAGTCATTTTCTGTGTTTATCATGTACTGTAAAGTAATAAAACTTGTCCCTCTGACCCAGTGAGGAGTGAATCTCATCACGCTGTTGTTATAAACCAGCCTCAGACATTACTGGCGTGCACTGACAGCTCTCCAGCTCATACACACCACGATAAAGTTTACAGCTTATTTGGAGGTCTGGCTTTTTTTATGTTTAACATAGTTAAATAAAAAATTAAATGGAGTTGTGTTCAGTTAGTTACTGAGAAACCTAATTAAACTATATACACTGTTTAAAATGCTTTTAATTACAAATGAGTAACATCCGTGAGGTTAAGGTTGTCTCCATAGGAGAAAATCGTCTTGGATCTGGAGACTACTGCATCAAAACCCTTTACCTTCTTAATGAGCACGTGCTCAGAGTACAACAAATGGGATGGATGAGCTAAAATGTGACTCTTTTTGACCTGGTTGCGTATTTCTGGATATTCTGGGTCACTAAGTAGTTGGAGAAAAAACCCATAAAAGGTACGATGGCTTACAAGGAGTTGTTCTATACATTTGGGCCACCTCTGTTACTTTGTTATCGTTTTTGCTTAGCTCTCTGATTTGAATTTGCACTACCTCTCTTCGATTTTCAGTGCTGCTTTCATTCTGAACTTTTACAAAAATAAAATACTGGAGGCTGCCAGTGCTACCTGTCAGCCTCCTAGTAGATTATTATGCTATAAATTAGAAAATCCTTGGTAATTTCAGAAAGTTTACCTGAACTTGTGTGACATTTTAAGCAGACACACCTATGGCATGAATTTCAAAATTCTAAGTCGCCTTGTTCTCGAGTTATGGCATGGACAAACTTGCCCGGGAAGGTGGTGACAATACCCCATCGGTCATTTATGGCTAAGGGATAAAAACATAACTTTATACGCTAAAGTTTGTTTACCAGCAATCAAATTTCTATCATTCTACCAAACCTGAAGAAACACCTACAGCCTACAGAGTAATTTCTTTATTGCCCAGTTCATAACATTTAATAAAGCAATAAAGAAAGATTAGGCCATCTTCTCCTTTATTTCCCCAAGGGACGGCCACAGCAGATCGTCAGTTTGATCTGTTACAGATTTTACACTGGATGCCCTTCAAAACACACCCCTCCCATTAATCCAGGCTTGGCACCAGTACCAGGAGTCCAGTAGTTTGTGATCCCCTGAGGCTCTGGTCCCATAACAGGGATCTTTTTTGTGTAAGTCAAATATGTTAGCCACTACACCATGGTATCAAAAATTAAGTAAGTAATAAGTAAGTAGCTAAGTAATAAAAAAAGATCATTAAATTTAATAAGTTACATTACAGTACATGTTTTGAATAAACGGTTACATTACATTGCATTTTTCAGATGGGTAGCTAGTATTCTGTAACCTATTTTATTTGGAATAAAAATAACCCTCCTAACATCGCTCTCAGGAAACACATAATGCACAAAGTAGTCACTCCCATTACATCTCGGCAATAGAGACAGTAAAGTGCATTAGACCATTTGAACTGCTAATGGGTGTTAAAAGATTTACCACACAGGAAACAGGAGAGAAAATGAATCTTCAGTTATGGTGTGGAATGCTCCACTGATCTTGACCACAATCTCTTCCTATAATCTCCACTTCATTCCCAAAACAATGAGCTGTAGTACAATGACTGTCCACTGCAACACAACAGGGAAGTCACTGCCAATAAAAGTTTCGAAGCAGGCGAGCCAGCTGATAAAGGACACAAATGATAACACGAAAAAGTCAAAAAGCCCACTGAAAAAAGAAGGAGAGAGTACAGCGATTCAGACTTACTTTAAGGCCTTCAGAAACAGACTCTCTGGAAGCTCAGCTAGCATGTTGTGCTGGAGGTCCAGGGCTTCCAGAGGGACATGGTCAAGGAGTTCAGGCACTCTTTGCAAGCGATTGTATCCCGTCAGCAGCTTCCTCAAACTCAAGCTGTTAAGCAGTCTGCTGGAGGCCAGAAGACACATCACAGAGCAAGATCAGGACAAGAAAAAGCACTTATGAAACTTTGCGGGTGGTGGGTAGCCCTCACCAATCTATCAGTGACCTACTGACCTACAGTTTACCTGCCCATACAAACTAGCACAATAGCTTTTCCCCCAGATACCAGCAACAAAGTTATGAGTGCGTACAAAAGACAGGGGAGCAGCATCCAGTTTTCAAAAGTCTTTTCTGATTCATTCACTGTTGTCTGATACAAATACTAGAGCCTGGCAATGAATGAGGGTACTCTGAGCCAGGCACTATAAGATGGCCACGTTTTAATGTTGCAGCCAAAACACACAGACACAAGAAAACCTCACACCACATTTTCACTACTGTAAAAAATGGTCTTTATCTGCACCAGCTGGCATTCATGCGAGTAGTTAGAAAGAATGTTTAAAATCATATCTCATTATTAAGGATTTTAGGCAGCTGTTTATTAAACGACAGGCGGAATAAATTCAATTTGTGCAAAAATGTTTAAAAAAGGTTCATAACCTGGAAGGAAGCTCCGACAGGAGGTTACGTGTAATGTCCAGCATCTCAATTTTTCTGCAGTCACACACCCAGTCTGGAAGATACTCCAAGAGGTTCCTGTCTCAACACACACACACACACAGAAACACACACACGAACTGAGCAGTTGGTCAGGCCAAACCGATATTCTCCAGGGCCATTTAGCCCTGCAAATGATCTGTACTTTAACAAAAACAATTAGCGCGTGCAGTTGGGGATAGATGTTTGGTAGAAAGAAATTGTGCAGATGTTTCTCACACTGGCAAAAACACAAGACAGCTTATTTAACCACTGGCCTATTTCAAAGTTTGAAAGGTTCGTGACCTTAAAAGAGATTTCTCAGATTTGCGCATCTTTTACTCATTTATCTGTCCAGCTATTATTTAATCCCTACAGGCAAAGTGACTCTAACAGCTGAAAGGATGAGAATATGCTGCAAAGGGGCTTCAGCTGCCTTTGCCGACATGATAAAAAATAAACCAAAGCGATGATTACAATTCCTCCAAGTCCCATAAATTTTCCATAAATATTGTAACTCCAAATCCTTTAACAGTTATATAAGTACACAGAATATATGTTTGGAGGTTGTTGGGTGATAATGATCTATTTCAGTATTCATGTTGATTTACAACCACATAAACACTGAGCAGAACTAGATTAATGAGCACAAAGACAAAGATACTATTTTTAGACATCAGCGTCTCTGTAGCCACTTCTTATTCCCAGCCAGAACTCACTGTGATAGGTCCATGTGCGTCAGCTGGTTAGGGACTGGATAGATGTTGACTGTTGTAAGGCCTGTAGGCAGATAAAGGCAGCAATCATCAACCAAACATCTGGACCATTCCTACGTGCACTTACATGATGCATGTAACAGTGGAGGGAAGGGCAGGAACATACAGACAAATAGCCAGTGATGCATTAATAGCAGCTACTTGACGCTCTATTTGACTCACGGTTGCTGCTGGCATGAAGCATGCGCAGTGTGAAACCGCTGAGTGTGAGTGTCCCCAGCTGGTTGCGTTGGCAGTGCAGAGTCTCCAGGTTGCACACAGAGCCGAGGTCTAGCGATTCTAAGCAGTTGTCCCGCAAGTCCAGCTGGGTCACCTGGCTCACTACCTCTAGATTCTCACTTTTCACCCACCGCAATCCATTCAGCCTATATTTAACAGAGAGAACAGAGCACAGAAAAAAATTATTTTGTATGCAAGCGGCATGATTTTTAGGGCTGTCCCAAATCAGTATCTCTTTTAAAAAATCATATCACAACATTTGATGCCGGTAATACTGTACGTTTAAAAACACCTTCCTCACATAGTGAAACGAAAAGGAAATACATCCTGATTTCAGGAGTGCACGGTACATCACTGTACTCAGATACATGCTCTTTAGTAGCTCATCCATCTTTCATGAGAGCTGCCAGCATAAATTCACCACAGCTGCACCTTGGTCCTTATAAATATAGCCTGCACACCACAACTTAACTCACAAGGTTGAGAAATTATCTTGCTGTGGTTGGAGGAATGGTTGCCGGCTTAATCTTCGCACCACAAGAAAAATTAGCATGTTTTTTTATCCCAGTTTACCAGCCATGGAGGTCCCCTTGAGCAAGACACCCCACTTGTACGGTGCAGAGTTCTTTCTCACTGTGCTGCCTTGTATAATCATCCCTCTGTTTTCATATAGTTGTGTTTTTCTCTTTGCCCTTTGTCAGTCTCTTGTGCCTTATATCTTTCCATATTCTTTTTATTTATTTTTTTATTCCTCTGGACTTTGTGTTTTCTTGTTTTTGATTTTGGTCAATAAAGGCTCATTTTGTTTTCTGCCTCGTCAGGCTCTGCATCTTGCAGTCAGGTCCTCTCTTTGCCATCCCTCCATATGACATATTGTTTATTTGTGAACTGCTTAGAGGCTGGCATATACAGAGTGGAACAATGTCAGGATAATCAATTCAGGACACTGTCAGAAGTTTCCCTTACTCAGTCAAAGGAGCTTGCAAAGAAAACTTGCAAAGACTACGATGACCTGGATGACTGAGAACCTTCACAGACATATTTTCCCTTACTCACATACTACAGTATATCACACAGCAGGAGATAGTTTACTTCAAATGCATCCTGCTGGAAATGAACTGCGCTTCCAGGATAGAGCACGCAGGAGGTAGGACACATGACACCCACTCACTCGCTTAAATTTATTGGACAATTTCCTGTGCTAGCCTCGCGCAGGCTCAGTCAGCCATGTGATAGGGAGCTGGCAGGTTTAAGGCCACTTAATGTCAGATCCAACTATGTTGATGATTTGCGTTCTCACATTCACAGTACAGGTACAGTGTCATGAAAAGTACCCCCCCCCCTTCCTTATTGCTTAGTTTTTTAATATTTGCCACACCTACATGTTTCAGATCATCAAACAAATTGTAATATCAGATAAACATAACCCAAGTAAATACAAAGTGCAGTTTTTGAATTAAGATTTCAGATATTAAGGGGAAAAAACTATCCAAACCTACCTCACCCTCTGTGAAAACTAACAAGCACTGAATCATGAATTAAGTGTGATTAACATGATTTTTTCAAAAGATTTTTCTTCAATAGAGTGATTTCTTGATTTCAGACTTCCTGTCTGAGAAGTAGTAGCCTAAAACACCTTAAAAAGCAACATATCATACCATGATGTAAAAATACAGCTTAGATACAAGTCAGTGACATTTATCAGTCTGGAATGTGCTTTAAAGCCATTTTTAAGGGTTTGGGATTCCAGTGAACCACAGTAAGAGCGATTATCCACAAATAGAGAAAACTTGAAAGAGAGATAAACCTTTTCAGGAGTGGCCGGCCTACCAAAATTTCCATAGCGACGACCCATCCAGGTGGTCACGAAAGAGCCATCTACAGAACTGCAGGTGGCACTTGCCTCGGTTAAGGTCAGAGTCCACGCTTAAACAATAAGAAAGGGACTGGGCAAAACTGCCACCTAAAAACTACACAAAGATTCAGTCTTTGGTCTCACATTTGTCAAAAAACATCTTGATGATCCCCAAGACGTTGGGAAAATATTCTGTGGACTAATGAGAGAAAAGTGGAACTTTTTGGAAGGTTTGAGTCCCGTTACATTTGGCATAAAACTTCTCACAGTGTAACCAGATGGGTTACTCTCCCTGCTCCAACACTCTCTGTCTCTCTCCCTCTCTCTCCCTGCCGATCCAGGTTGCTCCTTTGCCTTTTCTCTGAGCGTGATATCAGGCACCAGGGAATTTTTTTGCGATAACCCAGGCAGCTTTGATCATGTTCTGCAACAGTTACAGGTACTCTAATCTGTGTGTTTGTCCTCCTCTATCCTATCTACCCTACTAGATTAACCACCATGCCACAACAGCATTTTATAAAAAAGAACATCATACCAACAGTGAAACATGGTGGTGGTTGCAACTCTAACTCTGAATGACTCAAAAAAAGAAAGAAAATCAAGGATTGGTGGAGTGGTCTAGTCAAAGTCTGTTTGAGATCATTTAAATGTGATTGAGATGCTTTTACAGGACCGTAAAAAGGCCGGCTGTGATCAAAAAGCCTTCAGTGTGGCTGAATTAAAACAATTCTGCAAAGAAGAGCGGACCAAAATTCCTGTACAGCAATATGAAAGATTAATTGCCACCTACTGCAAATGCTTGGCTGCAGTTCTTGCTGCCAAGAATGGCACAACCAGTTATTAGGTTTAGGGGGCAATTAGTGTTTGACATAAGGTCGAGTAGGTTTGTTTGGCTTGTTTCCCCTAATAACGAAAATCTTAATTTAAAAACTACATTTTGCATTTACTCGGGTTAATTTGTGTATTAATGAAATATGACACGTATGCAAAACAACTAAGAAATCAGGGAGGGAGCAAATATTTTCTTCAGGGCACTGCACGTCTAAAAACGTTTAGTGCTGCAGTGCAGTGAAAAGTGCAATTCTGGACAGCTCCCTGGTGTTAAACTGGACACTGCATTTATTCAGAGGAAATGTGCCATCTATGAACATTTGTTAAAGAAATAGGTAAGGCTTAGGTGAATGCAGCCCTGGCTGAAGTTCAGGACATTTAATGGAGAAAGAGACAAAAGAGGAACTTGTAGCTAATTGGCAGCACAGAATTATTCTCCACCTGCCACCTCTCTTCGTAGGCACTGAAAGAATGACAGTCATTAGTAGGATCCTTTTAAATATCGTTAGCTTCATAGCATAAGTGCCTAAGTCATTTTTTGATCAAATTGAGATTTTTGCCTAACTTTACTCCCCTACCACTGCTGCATCATCCTGTCCGTCTGCCTATGTCATCACAAAAAAATGACTTAGGCACTTATGCTATGAAGCTAACGATATTATATCCTGATCCAGCATTATTCTATTCAATAACATATGGCTGAGCAGAAGACCAAGCAGAGAAGGATATGACAGAGTGGAATGAGTCAAAGGGAAGCGCAGATGCTGAGAGCTGTTTGTTCCTCACTGGCCTCTTACCGGAGGTCAATGTTTTTCAGGTGGCTCATTCTGACCAGAGTGCACAAATCCAGACTCTCCACTCTGTTCCCAGCCATAGCCAGCTTGTCAACTACACTCAATCTCTCCAGCACAGCAGGGACGTGAGAGAAGCTGTTAAAGGAAAGCCCCAGGCTGTTGAGCTGAAACAGGCCACCCATCTCATCAGGCAGGGAGCTGAGGTGGTTTCCATCCAAAGACAGCGTCTGCAGGCTAAGAGAAAGAAAGGGACAAAACAGTCCTTTGCTTTCTTTTACTTTAGAGAGCGGACAAAATATCTGCTCACAACAATTTGTATTTGTAGCCATTATCTATTGCACAGCGACCTAAGAAATGCTGCATGATTTAGCTTTATTTTATCAGAGTGCATAACAAAATGTTCTGTCCTTTTCAACTCCCTTATTCCCTCATTATGTGTATAGTGGATTAAAAGTACAAACCACAATGGCGACTGGCAAAAAATAATTATTGCATCCTTTTCGAAAAATGTAATTTAATGCGCCTTTTATTTATTTTGCAACTCTGGCATCTAACTGACATTTCTAACATCTTTTGTCTGTGCTGCTATCAACTGATATCTCAACAAAGTGTACCTATGCAATGTACGCACTGTGTGCAATTGACGTGTGCCAAACCTTTGAAGGTTGCCTATCTGTAGAGGGATGGCGTGGAGACTGTTACAGGAGAGGTTGAGTTCAGTTAGGGTGAGGATCTCGCACACACACTCGGGGAACACACCCAGACGGTTATGAGATAAGTTCAGGCTCTTCAGCTGAGAAAACCTGACAAAAGAAAAAACTGAATGTGAAGTCTACAGGCTCACTTTGTTTACGATTTACATTATCTGCATTTGCAAAAAAAAAAAAATAGTATATCAGGAATGAACACCATCAAGGCCATCAAACTGTGTTTGAATTCACCACTGTCATGTATCACAGACATACTGCTCTCAAAAAAGTTTAAACTGGTCGATATAAAAAAAAAAACAAAACACAGATGGGCTTTATGTCTGGAACAAAACAGCGATCAAATCATGCAAGTTAAAGTACGAGAGGTAAATGTTTATTTGTGGTTCTGCTTTTGTCATTGTTGTTGCCTTCAGTGGATGACTGGTTCAGCACACTGTGGTGAAAGAGCAGTAAAAATAGTTTAAATCCATGTTGTCCACCCTCCAGCAGAGGCTGAACAGCACTTCTCAATAGTCTGGTGAACATTGTTGGACGTGTGCTGCACGGTAAGAGTTCTGTAATATTTTGTAATGCTGCTTCAGGCTTCACCATGTTATGCCTGTTTCAGGCAACAAAGAACAGTATTCACAACTGATAGGAGTGATTTAAATACACACACATATATATGTATTTAAATCGCTCCTATCACTTCCCTGATATTAACAGTTGATATCTCAGTTTAGAGTGGCCAGGCCTGCTTTGCATACAACACATAAATATGATTTTCATTTCTCTCTTCATGTGCATTTGTTGATTAAAACATATAATCACACCCTGTGGTCACAACTAGAAATTCTATCTTGATTACTAATTTTCACCTCCCATTTTGCACCCCAGATGCTGGGAGTGTTGTCATGAGTCACAACACTATTCACATGTAATATTCTTCTCCTTCTTCTTTCGGCTGCCGCCTTTAAGGCTTGCTACAGCAGATCGTCTAGCGCTATCTCACCTTATCCCTAGCGTCCTCTCCTATCGCACCAACCCTCTGAATGTCCTTCTTCACTACATTCATGAACTTCCTCTGTGCTCTTCTGCTTTTCCTCCTGCCTGGCAGCTCCATCTTCAGTTTCCTTTGTCCAGTGTATCCACTATCCATCCTCTGCACATGTCCAAACAATCTCAGGATTGACTCTTTAACTCTATCTTCAAACTTTTCAACCTAAGCTTTCCCTCTGATTAATTCCTTTCCAATCTCTGCCATCTTCAACTCCACCTCCATCTGTGCAACGGTTTCTAAACTGTATATGACAGCAGGTGTCACTACGGCGTTGTACATCATCCTTTTCACTCTTGCTACTATCCTTCTGTCACTAATCACATCTGACGCTCGTCTCCACCCACTCCACCCTGCCTGCAGTTACTTCTTTTCCTCTCTTCTGTACTGTCCATAGCTTTGGATCTTTGACCCCATCTCTCTCACACATGTATTCTGTCTTGTGTCTATTGACTTTCATTCCTCTTCTCTTCAGAGCTTAACTCCACCTCTCCGGGCTCTCTTCCACCTGCTCTCTGCAGTTACGTCTGCGAACATCATAGTCCACAGAGACTCCTGCCTGACCTCATCTGTCAGCCTGTCCACCACAATTGCTCACCAACTTTATTCTAAAGACAACATCAAGAAGAGCAGTGAAAGAGAAACCAGTCTTCTTAGTAAGCTGCAGAAAAGAATCTTTTTATAACAGCATGCATTCAGTACACTAACACCCATTCAACCAGGCATTCAACAGAAACTAAAGCGGGTTGAGTCACAATTTATAGCAATGTGCTAATGACCTCAGCTTGTTTAAACAGGCTCAGCTCCAAGGAGCAAGGACATACACCTAAATTCATGCCCTATGTAATGAAAGCCACACATAAGGAGCCACAGATATGACATAAATGAGTGGGGATCATTAAATGTGTGATAACAAAGAGATGTGCAACATATGCTCACAGTAACACTGAAACAGCAGACTAACTGGAAAATAACTAGAGTGAAAAACATAGTAATCAATGAATTATTATTAAAATTTTAAAGAGACTATCTAATAAAGCACATAATTAGTGAACAAACAACAAAATATTTTGTGATATTATTAAATAACTAATTTCCATCCTAAAAAGTAACGAAGGGACGGCGACTGTCAAGTTTAAAAGGTTTTACTGATAAAAGCTTTCCAAAGCCCCGGCCATCAAAATAACAAGCACTGGGGATTCATTGCAGTGGCCAAGGCATAGTTCAGCGAGACAGATACTTAGCACCATACGGATATGATAGCGTGCTCTCCAGCCACAGGACGATGTAATACCATCTCTTTCTTGCAAAGATGTTTCATTTGATTTCATGTGGTTACCTGGGGAGGTTGAGCAGGCCTCCAGGTCCCTGCAGGCTCATGAAGTTGTGTCGCAAGTTGAGATGGGTAATGTCCTGACTGTAAAACAGATATTCAGGCACTGCTTCCAGACTGTAGCAGGACAAGTCCACTAGGCTTACCGTCTGAGACACCACCTAAACACGCATGCAGACACAAGCAGACTGAGTTAACACCGAGTTACAATTCATGTACCTAAAGCATCACTCTTACATGCAAACTTGGCTATGTCAAATATTTTTACATTAAAATAAGCATGACATGGTGCAACCACAGCTACAACTGTCAGGCAACATTTCTAAAAATGAGAGCTACGAGCTCACATCTGATGATTCATTTTAGAACAACATATTAGCTACGTGTTTGTCGTCTATTTAAGTCAAGGGTCAAGTAGTGAGTTGTGCTCAGCTGTATGATATATGACAAAAACTGAGTTCCACTGACTTCCGTATCGGCACTACCGAGCTGCCTCATCAAGAATTAACTCAGATAGTTTCCCACATTCCAGTACAAGAAGTTTCTAGGAAAGCAACAGTTAAAACAGTAACAGAATAACCAGTTAAAGTCTGATCTTATTAACCAAAAGCATGATGATTTGCAGTATGTTAGGTACAGCTTATGCATTGGATGTCAAAATGTCTTTATATCACGGGGCAAACACAGCCCACAGACCAGTGAAACTCCCCCTTCTGTCACTGTACAGATGTTTAACTGCAAATTTAATCCTAGGGTTATCTTAGTATTAAAAAAGTCACGTAATTACAACAGCATGTCGTTTTTCTACACAATAGGAAGACACTGCGCTAGTAAATGAAGAAAGTAATCTGTCAGCATGACTGTTTGGGCTTTAACTATAAGAAATAATTGTGAATAATTACAGAAAAGTTCTGGGAGCTCGATGCCGAGACTGTCCTGTAGGTTCTATAAAACTTAGCAAAAAATGTCAGTTTCTGTTTTTTTCTTTCTAACTTTGGACACACTGTAATAAAAACAAACAAATTTAAAAAAGAGAAAAAAAAACTTTTCTGTCATTTAAATCTTTTCCATTACTTATCTATTACTTAGTTGGTGTAATATAAATGTCCATGGGGGAGGTCTGGGGGACATTTTCCAAAGCTATTCAGATACTGGTGCCAAGGCCTTACAATTGACACCTCTGGCTTATGTTGTCTATATAACAGCCCTGTCTTTAAGCTTACCATCATCATGGTTGTCTTTCTTTTTTTCTTTTTTTTTAAGGAAACTGATCGTCATGCGTGTGTGTGTGTGAGGTTTGAGTTTGTTCTTGATTCTTTACTCGTTCCTTTAAATCTATGAATTGTTTATATTCAAGTTTTGTAATAGTTAGCCCTGAAATGTGCATTCTCTAGTGCATCCGAGTTTGTTATTTCTATTTCTTCATTATGTGAGTGCCCCTTTCATGCCCTGTCCGTCCCAGTCTTGTCTCTGGGTTTTGTTATCCTTTCTGTCTCCCCGGTCACATTCCCGTGTCTGTCTGATCTCACTGCGTTTTGTCTGCATTCCCTGTCTTGTCTAATTAATACTTGTCCTGTCCCCGTGTTTATCCCTTACTGTTAATGTCTGATTATGTGTCCTAGTCTGAGTCTTAGTGTGTGTTTCTTCCTGTTTTATTTTGATAGTCACCAGTCCTGCGTGAGAGACGGTTCCGGTTTGCCTTCCCTGTCTCGTTAGTTATGATTCAGTTCAGCTATGTTCCCATGTGCGTCCACTTCTCTGAATCACCCTCCTCTGTACACATTGTTTGCTTCTCCCTCATTGTAGGTGAAATCTTCTGCCTGTCAGTTCACATTATGTCCTGTTATTGTTTAGTTTTGTATTTGCCTTTTTTGCAACGAAGCTCTGATTTTGAGTTTAGTTCCATTTGCTGACTCCTACATTCTACCTGCTCACATGACAGTGATTTTATAGAGTTGCTGATGCCTTGTGATCCTGTCCAGTTTGCAGTGCTGTTGTGAAACTTTTTCCACATAAATTTTAAGCACCAGGGAGGGTGTGATTGCATCTAGAGTTGGGATTTTACTGCTGTTTGTCACTGGATTTTTTTTCCCTCACAGACCTGGGAGACTATAGTTTACATGCTGGCCATCAGTCCAGGCTATGTAGCAGTGCTAAGTCAGTCTACTCTGACAATCATCTCCCCCATTAGCTCCAGAGCTGCACACTGTGCAGCTACGCAGAAAATGGGATGGCTGCTCAGTCAAGCATGGCATCACGTCACTGGCTGATAAAGACGAAACTGCTCTTCTCCCACAAAACAACTCACAGGACAGACGCCCTCTGTTCCTTCAAAAAAAATAAATAAATCAGTGATGCGACACTCTGAGATCGAATTGGAAGGTCGGGACAGATTTTGCTGTTTTAAATTATTTGCTTTGTAATTCAAAACCGAAAAAATCAAACACAGCAAAGATATGTCAGTTTAGGTATGACGGGTAGTTCAGTCCTTAATCAACGTGACACAAAATTTCCTGCAAAGCTGAGAAACTGGAGCACTTGGGCCACTAGCACAGCCGATCACAGCTTGAGTTACAACATCACAGTTTAATATTTCATTGAGATTCTGTAAAATGTGTTAATGGCATCTATAAAAGTAAAAGCCATTTCTTGAGAAATATCTAGTCCAGTCAGGCTGGACTTGATTAAAATCTCCACAGACTTGGACATTACTTTTGAGTGACTAAAACTGCATTTTAGCTGCTATGTTATCAGTTTTGATATTTCATTTGATATATGCACATACATACATAAAGCCTGGAGGGCTAAGCTTAAGACGATTTGTAAAAAATTAGAAGAAAATCTGTCTCTTTGGAACCAAAGTATAAAGAAATGTTCTTCAAATAGCTAAACGCTCAACAATCGAAGTGCCTAAGATGATGTGAGTTTCCTTTGCAGCGATTAACATCTGACAAACACTGAATTTTCATTGTTAATGTGATTGTTGTAAAATGCAAATGCTTTTTTTTTACAGTCTGACTTCCAAGATATCCAGAAGTGCTAATTAAGAAAGCAAAAATGCACTCCCTGACTGTTAGCCTCGTACACAGACACAGGCTTCTGATTTAAGCGATGTAGCATAAACGTCGGCCCAAATCCACCAAAAACCTTCATCGGCCATCAACTGCAGTCTCCATAGAAACCTCTAGTCTAATACTCAGCTAAAATACAGTTCGCTAACAGCCTCGTCTAACCCAGTAATCCATACCACCGTGAAAGAAAGAGATCTTGGACTTAGCATGAATCTGCAGCTAATTGGATTTTCTTTATTTCTGTTGGCTTTCTCCTTCCATGGCTAATTGTATGCTGGCTCAGCCTCTGTGGAGGCTCTCACAGAGGCTGTTCAGCTCCAAGAAGGAGCCGCAGCACAACAGACATTAATTAGGATATTAGAGACAAAGCAATCTGCGCAGTGCAGAGACAATGATTTTCTTTTTGAAGAGCTCTTAGAAGTCTCTGAAAGGCCCATAGATTTATTGTATATCACACAAATACAAAAATACATTCATTTCACATCATCTGACTCACAGACATTCTGATTTAAGTTTAAAAAAAACACAGGAGATAATTAATCTGTATTTCAAGAATGGGACCACCTCCACACACGCCCCTTCCGGTTCTATATATCTACATATGACCCCCCCTTTCCCCATTTGTTCTCATTTTCATGTCCCACCCTCCCTCTCCTCTGCAAGGCCCGCCAGTCCCATCTGAGGTCTTCCCCAAACCGCAGCCTCAATTCATGTTCACGCCATCTGCCATTACCTACTAGAAATGCCGTCAAACCTAAAGTGAGGATGTGGTCCCAGCTAGTGAATGTTTAATGTACAGATAGTGAGACGCGCTCGCCTTTGACTTACCTTTGACGCCTGCCGGTGCCATCGCTGATAGTCTGCAAGTGTGTCAAAGTTGACAAAGTATGTCTGGGCCTGAGACCCGGCTGAGCTGAACATCAGACAGTGCTGTCTCCGCTTCACCTCCTCCACCTCGACACAAAGACAACACAGAGATGAGATCAGGAACACTGAACAGACATATTTAATTTGTGGTGATTTTGTGTTTGTTTCTTTTAGTGTGTTTTTGTCTGCTACATTCAGTGATTCTGATTTTGACATTTCCAAAAAAAACCTTAGATAACATGTTTAAATCTGGTCAACTTGGATAAAACATTAGCTGGAGGCCACAAAGACTGCAGCGATAGCGCAAAAGCATTTAACTCTGTATTTCTGTGACACTATTGGACTCATTCAGCACAACTGGAAAAAGAAAATAAAAAGAAAACCTGGGATACACATTACCCACAATGCAACTCCAAGAGCAACACTGATTCTGCTATGCTAGTAGAGAATTCATTCAAGATCTAAAACTTGCCAATGTGGAAGTCCTTTAAATCCTGCATTCCTTCTAATGGCCAACAGGGGGAGATACTAAGATTTCCAAATTATGCCTGGATGTGTAGAGGCTTATAGGAAAATGACCCTTTTTTGCTCACTTGATGCCAACCTCAGGAAAAACTTTTTTTTCTGGTGAGTTTAGGGTCTTAGCGTCCGTAACAAAGACATTATTAAAAGTTCAGAAGGAATACACAGTAGCAGGTGTGTGACTGAAAAGTGTGCAGTGTCCTTCGGTTTTTCGAGCCGAGCCACCACTCGCTCTACATTTTCAGTTTCAAACCACCAAGCTGCCAACTGATAATTTCCATCTTTTATATACAGTCTATGGTTTCACGTGGGGATACAGAGTGTGCCACTGAAGTTTTATCAGCTCAAACACAAACACACAGAGTTTTTATGTATTTTGCGCTTTAGTGTGCAGCTTTGCTAATCTTTGAGTAAGAGGAGCTTGCATTCTCTGTTGGCTGAGAACTTTTCATGACACGGTTCTGCAGGCATGTCATCTTTTTAACTTTATCCAGACGACCAACCCAGCTGTGTTGTTGAAGAGTGTTATGGCACAGCTTGGAGCATGTCCTCCGCCCTGGAGAAAGCGAAAGCTTACCACCCTTTCAGGCTGTCCAAGCTCTAAACCCTGAACTCTCACCTTTCCCCCCACCAGGGGCAGGATGTGCATCTTCCCGGTGAGGCTGTCTTTCACAGAGGCCACGATCAAACAGGTGCCACAGAGAATGACCTGCCGCTCGGCCCACTTATGCAGCTGAGTCTTGCCCTTCCTGACGCTGAACACGCCTTTCAGCAAGGTCCGCTCCTGCTGGTCCGCATTCACTGGACGCTCTGGGAGAGAAAGCCCACGCACAGATGTTAGTGCAAATCTGCAGCAATCGATCTAATGCAAATAAACCCAAAGCCACTGCTGAGATAAGCAAATTGAGCTAATTAATTGCAAATGTTTTGCAGTTACGCATTAGACAAAGGTTCCAGAAAATGAAGTCACATAAGTACTCGAAGGTCATTATGATATCACCTGTCCGTTAGTCAGCTCCACAGTATAGCTATTCCAAGAAATGGTCTTACATCAGTGCTTAGGACACTGCCCTGTTATCTCATATGCTATTTGTACATCTGGGTAGCTCTTACTGAAAAATAATTCATTTGTTCTTCCACTAATCAGAAGAGAGTTTAAACTTTAAACTCCATTATTAAGCATCTATTAAATTACCGGTAAAGCCATATTAGAGCTCTTCTGTTCAGCTCAGTTGGAAAGGTTTCTCTCTACTCCCTGCTGCCAACCCAACATATAAGAGGCATCAGTCATATTGATGAATGAGTCAGGGTTTTGTCACATTTAACTCCACTCTGCTCAGTTTAATTATGCCAAGTTGCACTACAGGTAGTCTTAGCTGGCCATTGCTGAAGGATACATCAGACAGCAGTGCTGCCGTCTCTGCCAAGTACACTCAGGTTAATAGCAGGTCAAACAAGCACAGAGGAGACACTGCCTCAGCCTCCTGTCCTCTGTTGTTAAATTTTCCTCGAACCAACTTATGCTGCCTCCCACTCGGAGGCTCTCGTTGGCAATCTGCTTTCACTCTCTCTCGCTCTCGCTTCACGTCTAACTTGTTTTCATTCTCCACCTCCCCTTCCGCTTCACAAGGGCATCTAAACGAAATGAAAGCCCCCTCATGTTTTTCTTCGCCAAGGAAAACTGATAATGAACAAGCCAAGTGCTTCTGACAACAAATTGGCTCACTGGCAGATCAATAGCAGCTCCTGATCCTTGGGTGTCCCTCACTCAGAGAGAAAATTAGAGACACAAAAACCTCACGGGGTCGATGACGGGTACAATGGAGGTATCTAAAAGGGGGAAAACAGCTGGACTGTAGATAAGTGCTTTTTCTTGCCGCCTGTGGCAGGAAACTGTCGAGTCACGCTCTGCTTTAGTTACTCTGTGTTCCCAGAGCTTCAGATTAAAACTCGCAATTAAGAAAAACATCATCCCTCTGCAGTGCACAAATCAGCTCGATACAAACTGACACAGACCGACAGGATGCCCTCACAGCCTTCGCAGCACATCACCAGAAACAACCACGCTCTATAACAGACTTTGTTAAGGCCCATTTGTGGTAATTTCATGGCAAACCTTTATAAGAGCACTGCATGCAGGATGGTAACACATACGCCCGTCTCTAGTAAAAGACAGAATTCCAAAACAGCCCTAAAACCAGGAAAATGTGGTTTCATCCCTGATAATATTGTCACCCCCTCACCAATTTCTTGTGTATCATCACATTTTTTTCCCAAATCAAATTTTTCTCAGTAACACTAATCATCTGACAAAGAATTATAATTATCTGTGGATCTGTGTGAGAATCATCGTGCTTGCTCGCTGCAAGAGCACATTGGGCTTACAAAGGAAAATCAAAGTGCCTTGATTAAATTAGTTAACTGCAGGAGTTATCAATGAGAAAAGCGCCCAAATTATGAATACAAATGTGCGCATTCATGGTGCGAGCGTGCAGGTGTCCAGGCATACAAAGTCACGGCACTGTCCAAACGCAATATAAAACATCTCCTAGCCATAAAGAGCCAACTTCTAAAATAAAACAAACACACATGCTATCCCCAAAGGTCTGCAGGGCGATCAGTTGCTAAGGAAACAGGTTGTTCAAAATCAAAGTGTGAGTATGTAAGCCCTTATGATGTCTCCCTCCAAATCAATCCCATCCCTCTCACGACAAAAATGCTGACCGTTTCCCCGTGGCTCCAGAGGGGGTGGATGACACGGTCGTAACATGTTGCGCAACACTGTTTTCTCAAGGAGCAGGGCTGCAGACAGCTGCCTTCAAACTAATCATCAACCGGTGTCAAACGTCCTCCGGGTGGGAGGCTGCCAAACCTCAGGGACAAGTGACAGACCAGAGAGTGGAATGTGTGATTTCTCAGAAGTGTGGCTGAGACCTTCGCACAGCAAATTTAGTGATATCTCACTTCAGATCCAATATGGAAAAGTGTTATATATGCATATAGAAAAGTTGCCAATACGCACAACATTAACACTAACTCGAAATTCTTTAAGGAATACGTTTATATCACAGTATGCCAAGCCCGATGAGTAAAGAGTCAAATTAATTTTCCACAGAAAAATAAAAATGGATAGATAAACAAAGGAATGAGGTGACAAACAGAAAGGAACAAAAGGGGAAGTGAGAGACACGAATGTATAATATAGAAGGTGATTTGATTATTAAAAGAATATATATGGAAACAAGGGAGGAAGTCTAGAACGATCCAGAGAGCTATTTGGGGAAAACTGAAGCCAGTATGCACTTACAGTACAAGCCACTTAATTAGGTACACCTTTTCAACTGCTCATTAAAAATCTCTAAACAGCAATGCAGTGGATTTACACCTGCAGACATGATCAACACGACCTGTGAAGTCCAAACTTAGCATCAGAATGGGGAAGAAAGGTAATTTAAGTAACTTTGAACATGGCATGGTTGTTGGTGCCAGACGCGCTGCTCTGAGTATTTCAGAAACTGCTGATCTACTTGGATTTTCCCACACAACCATCTCTTTTACAGAGAATGGTCTGAACAACAGAAAATATCCAGGAAGCAGCAGTTCTCAGTTCACACAGGCTCACCAAAACTGGACAGCAGACTATTGGAAACACACAGAGTGCAGATCCTTAAAAGAGAATAAAACTGGAATATCTACATACTTATGAGCTGGTATTATTATTGGTTCTAGGAAACTGATGAACATTTATACTGTTCTCTAATGTTTTGTAGGCCTAATGATTAAAGAAGAAAGTAGCCTGTAGATGATTCATCACTGAAGAAAGGACAAGGGTCCAAACCAGGCAAAAGTGTCTGTTCTTTCCAAGGAGAAAAACTCTACCAGGAGTTTTAGTGTGTAGGTTCCTCATCTTGGTTCTTTCTATTGTTTTAAAATCAGTTTTTGTCCACATGTTGGATCATTTCAAGGCAACCGCCGAATACAATACTCCCTGTATCCCAGAGCTTTTTTGTCTTGCTCAAGATCGCATAGATTGCATTAGCATGCAGTAGGGGGTCAGTGGAGGCGGAAACACGGTCTGATTTGACTCAGAACAGCAAGCTCTTTTTGGCAGAAAATTCTAATTCAGCCCACCACACAGATACCTCCTCTAGGTGGTCTGTGTTTATCTCAATTTAAAATAACTGTTCGTTAAACTTTGAGCAAGAGTTTAACTCCTGACATCAAATAGAGCAACTGTGCAGAAAACCAGTGGAAGACACGCAGCTGAATGCCGCCTTTGAATACAGATGACTTTAAAAAAGAAGATTAAACTGGTGTTTCTCCCTCAGTAAGCCGTCTCTCTTAAAAACTCGCCATGAGTCTAGGATGACGGACGTCTGCAGGTTTAAAATGGGAAAGAGAAAAGCTTGGGAGGACCAGAACTTCATCTCAGAAACAGCATGTTTATGAGGAGCTGGCAAGAGCTTTGTCGCTCGGGGCAAGTCTGTGCAAACTTGGATCTGAACAGAATTTAATTTTTTTCTTAAGCCTCAGTCTGACTGTTTCTCTTATTTTTGTCAGGGCAAACAATTTATTCCCTTCTTTCACACCACAAAATGTCTCAAACCTTCACACACCAGTTCAGGATGTCCACAAACTTAATTTGGGTTTGAATTCCATCAGAAAGTCAGCATTAGTCAAACCAACAACTTATAAGGTGAGCTTACTCTGATTAATTTCCCTGTGAAGCAGATTTATTTCCCTCAGGTCTGATCCTGACAGCGGGCCTTACGTGAACTGTGGACAGCAGCTACAAGCCGCCTTTCTCAAAGACGTAAAAGATCACGCAGACAGAGGTGGAACACAGCCCGGGGCATGAACGCCAGAGCTTACAGCCAGCTTCATCTGCGCTGCAGCTGCACAGGCTGACACAAAGATCCGCTGGCCCTCAGGTCTCTGCGGTTGTTTTCACTAGAAGTGTTTTTTATTAAGTCAGTATTTAGAAAAGTTTACTCCCCTGTCCATGTTTGTTTTAATTTCATCCATGCAACACAGCTGAAGGGTGTGCGTGTATGTGTACAGCGGGTGTGGAGAAAGAAGGTCCCAGATGAGTTTCCTGAACAAATAAGAGGAGAGTAAAGTTTAATAAATTACCTGCTGCATTGCACTTTGAACCTCTTTGGTGGCTTGAGAAAAAAGAAAATCAGGCTGTAAAGCGCTGTGGTTAGAAATGAAACTCACGTGGCAGTGCGTAGGTAGAAACGCACATGTATTCGCACCACTGTCTTATTATAGAAAGTCGGCATTCTCGTAACCATGATCCACCGTTTGTATGCCTGTGAGACAGTCTGAGATGAATACTTCTCACACTGTCCCACAGAGTCTTTTGAATGATCTGAACAAGCCTGAAGACATAACTAATATAAAAAAAAAGAGCAAGCTCATTGAAACAATTTTACAAGGGCAGTTCAGCGAAACTTAACAGAGCATCTTTTCTTTTATCAGTTTTCAGGAATCATTAAGAAGGTCATATGTGGATTATTCGAGGCTTCTGTGGAAAGATGTGCTGCTGAGGTCTTTACTGTGCCATTTTAATACCGTGAACATTATAAACAAAAGCCCACCTCCCCTGGTTTGTGATGATGATCCTGGGCTCATAAAACCAAAGCGATCTGCATGGTGAGACAATCTTTAATAAACGTGGTTTTGGGGGAGTTTCCATTACAAACGCTCTCAGATTCAGAGCCAGTAAGGTCCAGTAATGCAGACTGTGCAGAGCGTACAGCTGGCACGCTCAGTGTACCACATTAGGTGGTCTTGTAGCAGCTGTAGTCTTTACTGATGGATCACAGTTTCACTCATCTGCTTAGTCAGATCGTTACTACAACAACGGTTGTTAGGCAAACAGACACCTGGAGGAAGACACACAAGGCCATCGACGCTGTAACTTTTATTGTTGTTGTTGTTTGGTTTGTTTGAGGTTTTTTTACTTTTTGTCTTAACTTGAGTTTTGTGCATACTGCCTTAAAAATGTGAGTAAGTTGCTCTTGGCTTGATTTGATAAGTTAAAGTCCTCATGAGTTGAGACATTGCAAAGCTAGTTACTGTAAGGATGCAAGGAGAAATGAGAAATATAAATGCGGTCAACCATTCAAAGCAACAGACAGTGCACGTTGGGGGAGTCATGGCAGGGTGGTGTGGGTGGAGATAAGCATCAGGGGTGATTTTTGACAGAAGGATAGCAGCAAGGCTGAAAGAGATGTTTTACAAGGCCGTAGTGAGTGTTAAGATTTTTCATTTGGAGTGAGCAAAATGGACAAGATTAGAAATGAGTAGTTCAGAGGAACAGATCAGGTCGAGCAGCTTGGAGACAAAGTCAGAGAGGCAAGGCTGAGATTGATTGGACATGTGCAAATAAGGGATAGTGGATATACTGGATGAAGGATGCTGAAAATGGAGCTGCCATGCAGAAGGAAAAAGAAGAAGAGCACATAGATTCATGGGTGTGGTTAGGAAGGACATGCAGACGGCTGGTGTCACAGAGGAGGATGCTTGGCATTGGGTGAGATGGAGGCAGGTGATCTGCTGTAGTGAGCCCTTAACAGAGCAGCCAAAAGAAGAAGAAAAAGAAAAAAAGAAGAAATTATTAAGTTAAGTTACATTAAGCCATTGAATTGAACCTGCACACTGTTCCAGACTTGATTTACTTTTCTCAGTTTAAACCTGCAGAGTCAGTACAGAGACGACCAGTGACGCTGCTCCCAGTGACAGTTACATAAACTGCTGTATAAGCCAAGTCTATGGGGATGGGGGCTGAATTCAATGCATTTCAATCCTAAACCCCGTAACAGACAGAACCGCTTTCACAATGGACAAAAATAATTTTTACTCTCGTCGCACTAGAGGATAAACAAGATAGCACCCTCTGTGCAAGTAGCTAAAAATCATAGCTGCATTAATCTTTTAAGCATTTGCTGGATGACAAGTAGTTGCAAACACCAGGTATTCAAAAGGGGTTGCCCAATGCTTGAGGGCGTAGCACACTCAACCTTTGCACAACCCCTTTCGATTGCAAGACAGCTGAGAGAGGCAACCAATCTCCAGACAGACATGGTCTGACTCAGACTGACTGCCTTGACTGGCAAAGGCTGGCAAATAATTGCTGTGTACTTCATAAATGCAGACCTACTCACAACACATTGCAACAGTCTGAGCCAATCAATGAGTACAACTCAGACACGTCATCATTCCTGTCTGATTGCCTTGTCGCTTGTCTTTATTGCCATCTTGACACACCAAAGTCACAGCAACTGTGAGTGGTCTCGCCTTCGAAGTAACCGTTTGCTCCAACCAATGTTTTCCCTAGTGTGACTGTAACATAATGTGAACATATTAAAAGGTATACGGCAACTTTCCATCATGTCTTTCTTACAAAAAAAGGCAGAATCCCTGAAGAGTTTGAACTTTCTAGCAATGCATCATGGGAAGTATGCAAGTTTTGCCTTTTAGAACAAAACTCTAATGAATTGAGTGAAATTTCATATGTTCACTCACTTAACTGCAGTGTAGTTTCCTGAAGTTAAAAGAATTTAAAGTAAAAAAGAAAAACATTTTATTTACACTTTTCTAGATCACAAAGCGCTTCACAATAAAAATGCTACAGCACTAAAACAAAAAGTTACTTAAAAGTTTAACATTTTCAAAAAGCTGACTTTTTAGCTAGTTGAAAAATTGGTGAAAAAAGTGGTTAATTTTAAATTACGTAAATTAGAAAAGATGAGTTGGTCTGATTAAATCTCTGCACCTGTGCTGTGAGTTAAAATAAAAAGACAGGGTTCTCTGTTACCAGCCAAAGAATTAAATGCAACGGTAAAGCTTGCTACTTAAGTTATTTTAATTCTTCATAAGAAACCTGTACGTGAACACAAGAGGTGACTTGCCCATTTTATAGATATCTGTCATTTGCTGACATCATTTGTGTCCCCACAACAAACTCAAAGCTTTATTACCAGCTGTCACTTTAGCAGTTTAGCAGGTATTTCACGGCCAAATCAAGTTGTCCTCTTGGCCTGTACTGGGCATTAAACAAGCCTGAAAACCAGTCATGTCTTGTCCCTGGTTCTCTTTTCCCATGAGTCGACAAAAGGAGGCAGGAAGTCTCCAAGGGGCCTGGCTAGACTCTACCCAGTGTGGCCTGATTGCTGATAGTAGCCAAGATCTGACCAGCTCTCATGTTGACAAGAAGAAAACAACAGTGGGCCACTGGACACATGAGGACTACCAATAAGACTCAGGCGAGAGTGATCTTAAGATCCGTCAGCTAAAAAAAAAAACCCAACATCATTTAAAAAGAAGCTAGCAAAAGAAAAAAAATGTATAAAGACAGCTTAAATATCCTGATCTGAGGGCTGATTATCAAACTGAAACTATATACAATAAAAGGTCTAGGACTCAAAATATCGATTTTTTTCCACGGGGCATCGAAACCGTTAAAAGCATCACAATAATTATTAATGGTGTTCTAAACATTTTTAGGATAAAAGAAAACTGGGCGTCACCGTTCTGTTTCACATGCTTCACAAACTAATTATATCTGTTGCTAAGACTTCATGGTGAGTTTGATTTGTTTAACTTTCCTCATCTGTCACTCATCAACCACAGAACTTCCATACAGAGCAGATTACGTTTGTAGAGTGTATTTCAGTCACTACAGCAGTCCTGCACTTCACTCTGAGGAGAGCTATGTGCCTGATGTGGGAGGAAGTGCATGTGAACCCTTTAGACACTGTGGTTTACCCAGTCTTGCTCTTTCTCTGGATACGTGAGCAGTTCAAAGCCCAAGCTTAAGTTCCACTGACTCAGCGGGAACATCCGCTGGTTGAAACTCATTATAGCACACCAATCACCATTTATGCTAAAAGGAAAATCCCTAACTGCAACTACTGTATGAGTATTAATAGAGCAGCCTTCAAACGGGAAGACTGTGAGAGGTTTTAGGTGAGCAGCGCTTAGATGCGTTCACAAATTCGTCACTGGTTTCTCCAGAGTCGCATCCATTCTGGTGCCGCATTAATCACAAAGACACAGGGACACTTAGTCACTCCAGACCTCAGGTCAATGAAGCATACAACACCACAGGATGAATGATGGTCAGTAATCCATCATGAGGCCATGACTGATGTGTTTATCTTAGACTGTACTGAAGACTGGAGGCAGCTTCAGAAGCAACAAACTCAGAGAGCCCTAAAACAACCTCTCTCACTTAATCCAATCGTACACACTCGCCAGAGGATGTGGCGAAACCATTTTGGAGCGTTCTAAGAATGTTTCTGTGCCCTCAGGTCTGTGTGCAGAGGAAAACTCGAAGCACATGCCAGATTCCAGTCAGCAGCAGCAGAAAGTGAAACCGAGGGCTGATTGCCGCCGCCGATGAGTACTCACCACTGTAGAAACGGATCAAACAGCTGAGGTCTGAGTTGGCGGCTTCTTGCTGCACTCGTACAGGGTCTGCATAGCCCATCGACGCCAAGTAGTCATACACCATCTGGAGCGGACGCTCAGAGGGATCCAGCCTCCTGCGGGACCGAAGGCAAGAAGATGAAGAGGTGTGACAACGACAGCAACAATTATAAAATACACCTCACAGAATCTCAGATGAAACAGATTATAAAAGTAAAAGCTTCCCGACAACGAACGCCACGATCCGGGTTAAACGGGGCACCAGACCAAGCTAAAAAAGCACTCCTGCCAGAGTCAGCACCACAGTTAGGATTTTGTTTCTTGTTTTAACACAAACTAAAAAAGAAGATGCATTCTTGCAAAATCACGCAGTGTCATGGGTACACCATCTGCTGCAGCAATGCTTTAGGTCTGCACAAATATTTAAAAATGAATTTCCGAGAAGAGGCACCTTTAGTATCTTTCTTATCATTAAAACGTAGCCATTAGGGGTTTTTATTTCGACATTACGGTAAGTTTGTTGAACTGAATGAAAATGATATTAGATATTTCACTCTTAAACCATGAGTTTGAATTCATCTGTAAATCTCTCAGCTCTCTGTTAGTCACTGAAGCCTAACAGGATGAATACTAATAGAAGCAACCTTTCACATAAATGCCCACCGTCGAGCTGAGTGAAGGAAGCCCCGAAAGCACAATAGCAGCTGCAAATCCAGCTTTCACTTTCAATCTAAAACAAAAGCTTAGAGTTAATTTATGATCACTTAGTCTCTCACTTCTGAAAACTGTTTTTTTTTTTTAAAGACGGGTCAATCTGCCAGCTCATAAAGAGCTAAACACAGATCTTTTTCAGTATCTGTCAACATGAAGACTTACAGGGGGGAAGAAATGTGATTAAATACTAACATTTAGAATAAACGAGACAGAAAAGTGCTTGAATTTCAAAAGATTCTTAACAACAGCTAGAGCACAGTACCCATGCCTGAGGACATGACTTTACCTCACTCCGCCTGGAAGATTTGCAGAATCATCTTGGTTGATTTTAGACAGCTGTGACATCAACATCTAAAAGCAGGATTTAGGCAGCTTCCAGCAGGCAGAGTGATGATGAGTGACAGTCCCTATTGACCATTCACACTTCACACTGATATGACTCATTTATTCACAAATCTTCCCACTTTGGCCAGTGCAGCAAGAAGCTGAATCTCTGTCAAATGGTGCCCAGCGGGTTCATCTGTCCTCGTGGAAAGTTATGCAGCCAACTATCATGGTGGGTTCTTGATTTAGTGCAGACATACCCAGTATTTCATAGATATATGAGAAGTTAACTGGGCCTCCTAAAAACACAATGGTACGGATGCACGTGCGTTTTTAAAAACTAAAAAAAAGCCTTGTATTGCTTCATCTTTCGATATTTTACATTATAAGTTGGTATCTTTTTTCATGTACGTTTATGTGGCTGCCTAAAAATAAAACTAAAATAACTGATCACGCCTTCAGTTTTAAGTATAAACACCAGCAACAAAAAATTAGTCGTTAGCACAAAAAGGAATAAACCGAAATGTGCAAACGTATTAATTAGTTGCTATTCTTGAACTGTGTTTTGTTTGAAATAAGAATCAGTCAAATGTGTCAACTTGAATGTTAGATAGAAAGAACTTAGATAGAAGAAAGTGCTTGCATGAATGGGTGAGACATATTGAGTGCTCGAGTAGAAGAGTGCAAGATAAGAACCAGTCCATTTACACAATAGACCGGTTGCAAGACCACCACAGACCTTACAGAGAGTGACAGAAAACCTTCTGGCTGTGTGGCAACAGTGCTAACCACTCCACCAAAGGGCTGTTTAGCTATTGCAGGGCAGTATTACCAAAAATTTCCTTCTGCCTTCTTCTGCTGCTAGATTAGGACAGTTTTTACCATTTCCCTTGATCAGGAAGCCTTTCGATTAATCAAGATTTTAACTTCAAGATAATGGCCCTGTATCACTTATCCTCAGGACTGAGTTGAGCTACTAGATCCAGCTTATTTTACATTTCTGAGTGAGCTCACTGATAAAGGAGGTCTTTGGTATACAGCTACTAACTTACTGGAAATAAGCCAGTTAAGATGTGTGGGATCATCTCTTTGGAAATGTTCTGGAAACTCCGGTTATACCCAGAACATGTTGAAGGGATTGCATATCCCATCTGTCCTGGAAACTCTCATGGATGGAAAAGCCTCTTGCTGGGAAAAAGAACACTAGACTGCTTCGCTCACCCTGTTTGCACTGTGACACTGACAGACATAAGTGGTCCAAAAGGGGATGAACAACAGGATGAATGTCCTCCATCAACTCTACTGCCTCAGTAAATTTATCTGTAAAGGGAGTTTGTTGAACTGAAAATGCAAGCAGGAAAGAGCCCCGAACGTGCCTTCCTGTAAGCAGCACGTAACTACATGCTCTAAAAAGAAAATCAACAGGAAAAGCCGCATAGCTCACAGCTGCGTCGTATGCTTCACATAACCATTTATAGAACAAATGCATCTATTATCAAAGTAATGAAGCCTTTTTATGCACAGAAGGTTCATCCAAAAGGTCATAAAATAGGGATGAGAAAATATATTACTAAAGGACCGTTTGAGGACAAACATTACTGGAGTTCATATGCACATAATACATTTAACTTGTCTTTACCGTATGTGCTGCCAGTTTGTACAATTAATGTTTTTTTTTTTCATTATTTATGCAGTTCTCCTAACTCGCCATTATCCTGTTTTTCTTTTCTTTTCTTTTTGGAAGTTGAAGACTTTAATATTACATTTAAATCCACTCAGTCATACTCACTGGCAGACCAGACTGCTTTACTGCTGGAGTATAAACTGAACCAACAGGGCCCATCCACAGGCTTACCAAAAGCCTTTCATTTATTACCACTCTGCATCCGTCTCCAGTGCCTGCAGCTCTCAGTCAGCAAAGATATAAAGACATTGTTTCATATGCTACTATTGGCTAACAGCATGTGAGGTGATTACCGACCTCCAGTCATGTTTCCAGCATAATCTCTGCAGCACATCTGTGGCACCATCTCCCACCAGTTATTGCTTACTAACACAATCATTCACAACTCTTTGCTCTAAATGCATCTGTTGGCACTTTGCTGGTTCCCCACATTTTTTATAAGATCTTGCTCTTTCTTATTCATTTAAAAAAATTGAACAGACAGAAGCGCTCAGACTGAATGAGCCATAACTCATTCAGGCTTAAGCTGTACAGCTGAGCTCTTGTTTTAGGCTCCTTTATGTCTTCACGTAGGTTTTCCAAGGGAAGCAAACAAGGAACTGAATTCTTCCTGGTCACGGACTAGTGAACCAGCTTTTCATCCTTTCACAGATCATCAATTACTATTTCGGTCTACGCATGTCTTGTACAGTGGTGAGAGGCGTAGAGACATGTTCCCTGAGCGTATCCTTGGTGGGGAGCTGTGGGAGTGCGGGATGATAGGGCAACTGCAGCAAGTGCTCAGTGGTGTGTTTACCTTCTTTGCATTAACTGAGGATGAGATTGTATTATACATTTTTAGCAAGCTCCCATTTCACGTGCTTATATTTGCATAATTCTTCTTATGCTTTGATTTGTCTCTTATTTTCTTAACATGATTAATTGGTATTTATTTAATGAAGCTGTTGGATGCCTGATGCATGTGTTGGCCCCATCTTGAGTAGCTGATGTGGACTGAACTCTCTTTACTCTGCAGTTGCTGAATGCAACTTTGTCACCATGATTCGACATGATGTAAATTTACCTCACTAGGTCTCCGTGCAGTTGAACGTAAAGTGCGTGTCCTTTCTTCTGAGCGCACAGCTCCTCCACTGTGGTACTGGTGGAGCAGAGCACCAACTGCAGGTCTGTCTGAGGGGTGGAGGAGGCCTGTGTGCCAGAGGCAGGTGGCTGAGGGTCTACTGTTCCCCCATACAGACACACACAGCCCCGCTGGGTGTCCCCTTTCAGCCAGTCCCGCTCTCGTGATCCAAACCTGGTTTTTCTCGTCACGCAGCTTCGACTCCCATTCCGCTTCATGTTGCGCTGCTAACACAGAAAAACACAGAATATTAGTCTTTCTCACACACAGATTGTGATCAAAAACATAGCATGAAAGCCAAAGGGCATCTGAGGAAACAGAGAGTGGTTCAAGATGAACTACACACTCTCCCAGACGTGCTGGGGGTTTAATCCAGCCACAAATCAATTTGCGCTGGTAGTTACCAATTGGATAATCTTCATAGAAATGTTCGCTCTTCCCTAAACAAAAGTCAACCATTAAAATTTATTCATTCGCATTGAGGGTGGACGGTGTGACTGCTGAAGAGAAACCACAGCACCATTATTTTCACTAATCGCCCGTGATGACATTAGCCGGATGTGGAGTAGCCTAATGTTACTCTTAAACAGACATCAATGAAGAATAATCCTCTCCTGAACGATAAAATATCAGTAACAGCAGTTCTTGGTGAGGCTGGAGTTTATCACGTGGGATGCATTTAGATCTAGTCAGTACAAAGAAACATATCAAAGGTCTGGAGAGCATCCGTTCTGGTGACAAACAGGTATCATTGCTGTTGTTTTTAAATGATGTCATCTTCAGCCTGCACTGGCTTCCATGTTCGATAAGCCTGACAGTAAAAAGTGTGATAACTGATCGTTTTTGGTTGGGTTTTTGAACAGCATTGGCCACAGTTTCTCAGTATTTGGTACTGTTACTCAATAACTGATTTAATGACTGATTTCCTGTTAAAATAACAGTAATTTTATCTTGATTAATCTGATGAATTACTTGGCAAATCCTCTCATTTAAGGCTTAATTTGTTTCTTTTCTTAGACTCTTTCTTTACGGTAACAAAGTCGCATCCCATATAAGCCTCTATTCTCAAGGTCAAGAATAAACATCCACACAATGGATCATACCTGGAGCAGCATTGCTCCAGAGGTTAGAGAGCTAAGGCTGTGATCAGGCGAACGGTTGATTTAAAAGAAGAGGTCACAGAGAAAGTAAAGTGCAGATGTCTTCTTTGTCCGCAGCTGTGAAGGTGTGTCTGATGAAGCTGTGGAATCACCCCACTGGACTACAGATGTCCTGGGCACCTCCCCAGTATGGATGTGTGTCACTGTGGGAATGTGAGTGAACAAGCTGTCCGGACTCAGAAGGAAGTACCTCTACTTTAATCTATATCTAAGACCTATAACTGTGAAAAGAATTCACTTACTCACCTTTCTGTATTGATGCTGACAGGCAGGTAGAAACTAATGCTCTCGGTGCAAACATCAAGGTGTTTAATACTTATTACCTATTTCATTGCAAATCCTCAAATACCTCTTTTAAATATAATAAACGTTTAATACTCACAGTCTAAATGAAATACCAGAGCTGAGGTTCTCTGTATGTACGCGCGTGTCTCTTGCTTTGGGGACTTGCGTGTCATTACTCATCATGTCTTCCCCTAAAAATTTCTAAGAAAACTGTTCAGCAGCGGGCCTGGGTATATGCGAGCTATGAGTGCCTGTAGTGTGTGGTCTGCCGCTGTTACCGGCTCCGGTGCATTCCTGACTGCCTCGGATCAATTATCAATTAGACGCGATATCACAGCATTTACATAACACTGCTGGGAAGGATGCGCGCGTATCCGTGGATGCACTTTGCCCTGTTCCGAGCACCTACTGCGATGTAACCACCTTGATATGACAGTTGTCGATCACTTTAAATCCCCCCCGGCTGCTCCCTCTCGTTATGACCTGCCTTTAGCACTCGGATCCCCGTCGCAGCGTGAGCTCCGGGACCACTGCGGCTGCCGCGACCCGCAGTCTGGTTCAGCCCCGCCTGGTGGACCACCGTGTCCGGCTGCCTGTCTATGCAAGCCCCGTTATCTCCGACATCACCTCCTCTCTTGATGCCCGTTCGGACGTTGGTCGCAGCGACCTCCGCGTTATTGTCCTCGTCCTCCATCGCCATGTGTGATCCCTTTTAACGGCGGCAAAAAGCAAGCGATGTCCCGGCGCGCGACTTGTAAATTCCCACGGAGAGGTGAAAATTCATCCTGTGTCGGTGCAGCGACGCCATATCCCGACTCATCTGACTGCTGTCAGATAGGCCCCGGAGAGCTGATCAATAAACATGAAATGGGCGGGCTCAGGGTATTTATTATTCAGCAGCCAATAGGCCTTTCTGAAGTGGGATGCTTCATAATAATGATGAGGCAAGTTTTCCCACTTGATGCAGTCATAAAAACACGAGAGGTGTTTGCAGGGCGTGTCATTAAGCGTTAACCCTCTGCTGCACCTATTCAATGAGAGGGGAGAAAGAAAGGCTCTATTTGTATTAGTCTGTGGATAAAAGTTTTTTTTTCATTATCGTTAAGCAAATAGGGAGAAAATGTTTAAAAATGCATTTATCTGTTGGGTGTGTCAGACATGGGTTCATGTTTTTGTAGTGTCTCGTGATGGGTTTACAGTCTGTGTTTAAAAGCAGTTGTTCTGAGCTGTGTCACAAACATTACGGTTTTTGCGCATGACTTTGGGTGTGACCGGCCTGTCGCTCTGTGACTGCTGGGATATCCTGCATCTCCCCCGCGACCCTGAATTGGGTAAGTGGAAAAGGTTGATTTGATGGATGGGTGGGTTTAGATTGAACCTTATCACACATAGCTATTGAGGTTTCCTGAATATCCACAGCACATCGTTAACGTTTGCTGGCATTCATTTTTGCACAGCGTTAAGCTCCAGTCACAGCATTTTAATCTTATTGAGGTCTGAACTTTACTGGATCATTGCAACACCTTGATTCTTTTCTTTTTCAGCCCTTCTGCTGTACATTCACTGCTGTGCTGCCATGTTGCATGACCCAGTTTTAGCAAAGCTTTGGCCGCCAGACGGATAGCCTTGTAGTTGACTCTAGAATACTGTGGCATTGAGAGGAATTGACTAAATCTCTGTCAGCAGGTTACCCGGGTCCTGCAACTACAGAACATGCCCGGATCATCATCCCTCCACCGCCGTGCTTGATATTTGATGAGAGGTGTTTGTGCTGATATGTTGCATCTGTTTTTCACCAAACACTGCACTGTGCATTATAACCACACACTTTTGTTCAGATGCAACTTTGCAAATCTAAAGTGTGGCGTCATGCCCTCCTTAAAGAGAAGAGGCTTTCTCTTCTGTGATGAACTACTGTCATTGACTTCATCATTTATCATGCTGACTGAGGCAGGTAGAGTCTGAGATGCTGGTCTTGGGGGTTTTTTTGTTTGTTTTTGTTTTACAATTTCCCCGAGCATCACAGAGTCTGACTTTCGAGTGAATTTGAAGTGATACACATTCCTGGCAAGACTGTAGCATCGTCACACACCTGAATGTTCCAGATCACACTGATCAAATGCTAGCAGCACCTGCCTGCTACTTACACTCTTAATTCCTATGGAGGGAGTAACTGTGCATTTAGATTTTCATTAGGCAGCCTGGAGTCCTGTGAAAACCCTTTCACGTGACTAAATCGTGAGTGAAAAGTACCCAGTCAACAAGGAGAAAATTTCTGAAAACCGGAAACAAAACAAGGCTTCTCTTCAGACACATTTTTATTATTTTTTTTTTACAGTTAGTCATTTCTAAAGCAAATAACCTGATCTTCTTGTCTTACTATATGAACCTAAGAAATGATGATAGATAAATGACTCCCATACCTTTTTAGATTGCTCTTTGACACCTTTATGATCATTTCACTTGGTTGCAATCATTTAGAAACTGTGCAGTAGACGCTTCATTTTGGCCAGAGGGTTTGAGTAAGCAATTTACTCAAGGGGCCACAAATCCAAGTGTTATATGCTGACTAATCTAGAACTTCAATTCTGAATGCCTTACAATTTACATTTCATTTTGTAGAACTCCCTCACAATAAGGCACAAATGCCAGGATCCTGAAACATTAGAAACATACCTTTTGGCGCTTTCTTAAATCTCCCCTCTATATCATA